TCTAAGAACATTTTCAGTTCGACACAATAACTGAACTGCAAATTTCACAAGATGGATGCTGTTAGTATGGAAGACTTGCTTCTCCATCCTAAAGACAGTTTTTAACATGAAATGGGTTGGCATTAACATTATTCCATTTAAACTTTTGAATAACGTAGGCCAAAATTTTAACTTCATTTAGTCTGTACTTACTCCTGAGATGACATTCATTAACATTAAAGTTATTTTCTTTTTATAATGTCAATAGAACATAGCAAGACATGAATAATTTCATTATCTGTTAGTATGTATAGACTCTGAAGCTAGGAACATAGAGCACTTGCTTGACTGGTGGTGCAGGAGAATTGTCTGTATTCTGTTAATCATGTTTTAAATAAACGCTGATTGGCCAGGCAGGAAGTATAGTTGGGTAAACCAGACAGGAAGTAGAGGTGGGGCGATGAGAAGAGGAGTATTCTGGGTAGAAGGAAGCTCCCTCTGCAATCCTGCCCAGATCACAGAAGAAGTAGGATGTGACCTGCACAGCTAAAAAAGGTAATGAGCCATGTGGCTAACATAGATAAAAACAATGGGTTAATATAAGTGATAAGAGCTAATAAGAAACCTGAGCTAATGGGCCAATCAGTTTATATCTAATGTTGACTTCTGTGTGATTCTTTGGGGCTAAATGGCTGTGGGAACTGAGCAGGACAGAAACCCCAACAAGCAGCCCCTAATGTTACAGACTGGCACATACAAAGCCCTGGGTTCAAGTTTTACCACAGGCAGGCGGAAAAAAAGAAGAAAAGGCTCACAGCAATCTGCTATGATAAAATATAGGCAGAACTACACCCACCCACAAAATAAATGGAGTTCAGTTGCTTCAGAGTAAAATAACTAATTATCTGTTTTTACATTTTTTTGTCAATGAATGAGTACATTTCAAAATTCTAAGAAAATCATTACATTTGGCTAATTATGATGTCGAATTAACTTTATTACTATCTAAATCAGGAAAATTACTGACACATTTTGAGGTTGGAGGGGGACAGAACAGCATACAAATCATTAATGTTAAGTTCAGACAAGTTCATACAAGCTTTTCAAATGTATAGAAGCATCAGTATCAAGTTCATAATGAATGAAATACTGGAGTTTTCTTCGCAAAAATTAAATTCTCCATAACCATGTGCATGCACACATAGTTATTGTGTATATGTGTGGATTAATGAGAAAACAGCAAAAAAATCGAATTTGACTGCTTTTCTTTTCACAAACTAAGGCATTCATTAAGCAAATGCATTTGCATAAGACAAAAGGACACAAATGCAACAATCATCTGAGAACACATATGACCTAAGAGGCAAACCCGGGTAAGTTACAACACAGCTTCATTCCACCCTCAGTGAACAAACGCATGTTTTCAATGCAATGCAAATCTAAGGAATCAAAGGTAAAAGAGCCATTTATTTGTGAAACTTAGGTTAAGCCAAGCTGCCTTTCCTCCCAAACACTCACAGCATCACTCACACCAGGCTAAGTTAAAGCATCCCAGTATTTCTCAATATTAGTGCATGATTCTAAATACAAAAATCACACTCAGTTTCCTTGCTGATTTCCGAAACTAAATTCGTTCCTTTCAACAGTCAGAGTCCTTTTTCACTTGGCAGCCCTTTTCCAAGAGTTTCAAGCAAATTGTAAAATGGTCCAGATCAGATCTTAAAAAACAATTCGGTTCTGCATTATGGTTTGACTAACTTCAATCTTTGTGATCTTATACTCTTTTTAAATCTACGACTTATGGTTTTCGTGGCTATAGCTCTTTGTGAATCACAGGTGAATCAAGTCCATAAAATTTGGACTGTTGTTGAATACTAGAAACAATGCCGGGCACAGCAGCTGGAGCCAGTAAGTCCCACACTGGCCATTATTCCCTCCGGGGCAGGGAGGAGTGAGGGAGTAGATCTGCAAACTGCAAAAAGAATATCATTAAGAAAATTATTTCTGAAAGACTTTCCATTCATATTTTTCAGCAGGACTTTCAATCTCAAGCATAAGCATCATGCTAGGCAATCTAAACTGAGACATCAAAAGCATTTCCCCAGTTGACAAATCACTGGCTGTCTGGTTTATCACTCTTCTGGCCAGGGAGGCCTGATGCAGCCTAACATGTCTACATCAAGAAATTAAATAGTTCACATAAACCTTTGTACTCATGGCTCCTCCTACTCCAGGTCTCTGGAAGGACTCTGCTCACCCATACAACTCAGAGTGGCAGATTGTTGAATATTCACCTTCAGACAGGGCACTACATTGACAGAGTCAGCCCTGATGACATCAGGACCTGTGGAATGTATGACTGCTAGGAAACACATGCTGCTGAGAAGCAGAGAACACACCTGATGGGATCTTTCAGCACAAAGACTGCAAATCGCTGAGAGCTGCTGAAAGGGGAGGGAACGCAGCACACTTCAGCCCTCAGAAATGTTTGCAAGTACAGAGACTTTCACACAAACCCCCCAGAAAGGAACAAACTAGAGGAAACAAGATTCTAGGGGGTTAAGCCCTCAATCTCTAGGCTTTTTATTTTTTATTATGATCAGGGTTGCTTACTGTCTCTTGTAAATATCTTAGAAAATACAACTTCATCAAGATTATTCAGTACTAGTCCTTTGAATCCTATGCTCTGTGAAGTGGTCAAAGCCATAATGTAAGTATACTTAAAAATAAAATACACATTTACAAAAAAAGGATTCTTTAAAATAAACTAGGTCATAACCATTTTCAACAAACATCAAAGTAGTTAGAAGTAATATACAATAGGTAATGCAATGCATTTTAATTATTGTATTTTAAAAGTAGTTATTTTTGCAAGCATAAGTTTATTAAAATGTGTTTATCTCTGTGCATTTGTTACCCATTCTCCCATTACTTAAAGAGTGGAGAAAGAAATAAACAGAAAACTACAACGCTAACAGGGATTTCAGCATAAACATCCTCTTGATTCCTACGCAAATTATCTGGTATCCTCTGTTGGTTACATTGGAAAACAACTGGCAATTCTACTTGTAACCCGAATACAGATAAATTGGGCGCCAGAACTGCTTGCTGATCACTTAGTTACCATTCCAGATTGAAAAATGAGTTTGGGGTCTGGCTAACCTCTGTTATCTCATAGACAAATGCAGCTGACTTTCCAAATGCAATATCACTAAAGTGTTTCCTTGCAGATTGTACGATGGCATTCTTTAACTAGCGATGACAGCCCATATGACACCAAAATTAGCAGACCTCCCATTTACTTCAGGGAAAAACACAGAAGGCGTTTTTCCTTCCTGCCAGAGTCTATGTGTCTCCTCATTTCCCCCAGCAGCTGGCCACAAAGATGTAGAATCAGAGGGGCGAGCAGTCTTATACTTCCTAATGAGTAATTCGCCCAGGAAAGTAAACACACCAGACACCAGCAGGTTAGTCTCTGAGGGAGACGGTGGCAAAGATGCTTACACTGTTGTTTACAATGTTCTCTAACTACTGCAGTCAGGGAGCACGGGAGCCTCAGAGAGGAGACACCCGGGAGGAGGCTCCCAAGCCTCCAGTTCGCCCAACTGTTCTATCACTGGTCATCAATAAAAGCACCACACGTTTCTATCCGGACGAGGAGAGTGGCCAGATAAGACCAGAGCTTCTGCAGACTAGACTTGATTACCGCAAATCTGCAAGAGGTGACTGCTGGAGCAGGTCCCCATCAAGGCCAATCTGGAGTACGTACGTGGGGCGCTGCACCAGCGACTCCAAGCATTGCACACATCTCCAGGGGAGAGGGAATCTGCCGCTAGGCTTCCTTGCAACCCTACCAAGAGCCCTCTGGGCCTCCTCAAACCAGATTTTCCAGCTAAGTTGATCCCAAGCGATTTATATGAGCAAGCTCTACTCAAGTAGCTTCAGGTCACCCATCACTACACAGGTCTCCCCGCCACCCCAAGCGCGCAGGATACTATACACACAGATAACACAGACGGCGACCCCTGGCCACTACCCCTACAAACACAGAGCAGTACTGCTGGACATCTGGCATGTTCAGCCGCCACGTCCCGGGTAGAACCAGAGGCTGGGTAGCGCTGGTCCACGCGCTCCGCTTCAGAGACTATCCATCTCCCAAGCGAAGCACTAAGATGCCCCCTCTTCTACCTGTAACCTGCCACCAGGGCCACCACTGCTCTGCCCACCGCACCCTGGCGCCGCGGACGCCCCAACCATTGAACACCCTCTCTACACCGGTGCTCACTCTCAGCACAGCTCTACCCCTGTGCCAGCCACGAAAAGTGGTCGCTTTCTCCAACAATTATCGCCTTACAAAGCCTAGGCACTCAGGTTTAAATCAAACTGCCGTGAAGGGGACACACAAGAGGGGACACACGAGAGGAAGCAACGCGGTTCCACTTCTCAAGGGAGCGACCTGGGCAAACCCGGCCACCTTGGATGCTCCAAAGCAGACGTCCAGGGAGGATCACGCCAGGCTCACCACCCTGCATTCTCCATCACCCCAGACTGAGTTCCTCACCGGGTCCCTGTTCGTCCTCCAACCCGTTCCCACCTCTCGAGTTGCTTCAGACTAGCGGAGAAAAGGCGCCCCCTTGGTTGAAATCTGCCCCTACTAAAGGACAACATTAGGGTGACAAGGGAGGGAAAATGTTCGGGGTGGGATTCGTTCCTGTCATTCGGCGCGTGCGACTGCCAGTGCGCGGGTTTCCCTTTGCTCTACATCAGCCTCTGTCATCATATCGCCCAGTAGCTGGTAGAACCTCGAACCCGTGCCAAACCCCAGCGCCCACCAGCCAGGAGGCTCCCTTCCCGCTCCAGATCACGATCAGATGAGTGTGCGCGTGAGGGCGAGTGTGTGAAGGCGAATGTGTGAGTGTACGTGAACCCTGCACCCCCTCTCAGTTGCCCGCCCAACGGGTGCCGCCGCCTGCGCCCGAGCTGGGCGACCGCTGTTATGAAGAGTGCAAAGAATAAATTACCTTTCGTAATCGCCGGTCCCTGAGATGGTCCCATCAGTTGCTCAACAACCTGCAACCCGGTACAGTTTTCCACAATCCATCCATTGAGCCCCAGGGCAAAAAATGAAGAAGAAAAAAAGAAAGAAAGAAAAAAAAAAGAAAAAAAAAAGCTGGACCGGCCCCAGCGTAGACACCCCAGCCACACCAAGCAAAGAATGATAATCAAAACGCAGAGACGGCTGGAGGGTGGAGACCCCAGTCAAAGAAACAACAAAAAGTGTCTCTTTCCTTTCTTCTTCTACACAGCCATGGAGAAAGGGGAAGCCGGGAAAGCCAAATGCTTGTCTTCCTTTACGTTTCCTCGCTTCACACGCCCCAGGGGGCAAAAGCGGAGCAAAGAGAAGGAGGGTTCAAATGTCTCTCCCAGGGCACAGTTGCACAACTTCGGAGTCAGGCTGTGTCTCCGGCTGCAGCCCGCGGACCCAAGCGGGAGCTATTAACATGCGGCAGTGATAGCTAAGGCTGCCTTTCCTTCTCTTGCTGCCGCTGCCGCTGCCGCCGCCGCCGCCGCCGCCGCAAGAAAAGCCGCTGCTGAGGAGACCAAAAATCTTCCACCATCCCCCCCCAAGCCGATCTTTATATCCAGTTCTCCCACCCCACCCCCCTTCTCTTTCTTTTTCTTCTTCTTCCTCGTCCTCCCCTTTCCGCCTCCGAACGGGAGGGAGGGGATAGGTAGGGGCAGCGGCGAGTACCAGTAGTGGCTTCTCCGCCCAGCCCTGCTCGCCGTCCTCCTCTTGCTGCCCCCGAGGTGCTCCGGCTGTAGAGGGTCCGCTCTGCCGCCCGCAACCCGCTCGGAGAGCCCCGGAGCCAGCCGCGCAACTCCTTCCCCGGTGCACGGCGTGGACGCGCGGGTAGAGCGGGCGCCGGGCCGCCGAGGGCTGCGTGCCTGCCGGGGGTGGTGATCCCCGAGCACCGGTGGTGGTGGCCGATCAGCTCGCCGGCCGTGCCGGGTAGCTGCGGGCATGCGGGATCTTCATCGCGCGGCCCGGGCTCCGAGCCGCCGCCGTCACCGCCAAGCACCGCGGCCGCCGGCTTCGGTTCTTTTTCTCTGCTGGACTCCCCCGGAGCCACTGAGGCTCGGGGCGCCCTCCAGACACGCACACGCTGTCCCCCGCGCGCGCGCACTCACACACAGACACACGGGTGAGCTCCTGCCACAGCACACCGTGCAGCCCGCGCGCGCACACCCGGAGGAAGAGGACTGAGGCCAACAAAATAAATAAATAAATAAAAGAGAAGAAAGAGAGGGGAGGGGGGCGAGTCACAGGCGGTGGCGGCGGCAGCAGCTGCGGGAGCGGAGGCAGCTCGCAGTCCGCGAGATGCCAGCGGCGGCGGCGGTGGCACCCTCCCGGCCCGGCCGTGCCATCTGCATCCCCGCTCCTGGGAACCGGAGCGAGCGCTGCGGGCCGAGCAGGCAGAGGGACGATGCGCCCGCAGACAGGCAGTGTGCACGCTGGCGGCCAACGCAGCCGAGGCCGGAGTGAGCCACCGGCGGGGTGACGGGCGCGAGAGCTCCCAGGACCGGAGAGGGGGGCTCCAGCCCGAGAAAGGGGTGGCCAACAAAACCCGGATCTGGAGTCCGCGAGGGCTCCGCGGGCGCGGGCTCCACCTAGCCGCTCCGCAGATGCTTGGAGGTGGGAACCGCGGGGCGGCTACAGGAGGCTTCCCTTGCAGGGTTTGTCAGACAAAGGGTACCTCTCTCTGGGCTAGGAGCACGTCTCTCTCTCTCTCCTTTCCTCTCCTCGCTCTTTCTCCACTCTCCCTTTCCACTCTGCTGTCTCTCTCTCCACTGGTATCTCCTCACTCTCTTGTCTTCCTCCCCCACTCTGCTATAGGTGACTGAGGTACCAGGCTGGGAGTTCTGCCAGGGTCTTCCTTACAGGTGCAGAGTACTCCACGTGTTCTTTCTGCGGGTGCCGACTTCTAAAGCATTTCCTGTGTTTGGTCCATTTTCTGTTCCTTCAAACTTACCTCGGTGTGCAAGTTCACAGCAATATTAAAAGCATCTTACCCCGAAAAATGGGGCATTGGGAATACAATGGTTTTGATTTCATGATGTCAATAAATATTACCATAAGGGATATAGAAATCTATCTTGATTCTAACTCCATGCTTTCTGCTGTGGTAAAGTTTGTTCAAGTGACCTTCGTCAATTATTGCACCTCTTTGAGGTGTTTTTGTAATGAGATGGTTAAGTATACAAGTGTTTCTTTTTTTTTTCCTCTGAAATAAAATTTCCTCACTTCCACGGGCTAAGGAGGTATTTTCTATACCAGTATGCTCTAGTAACTAAGATTTATTGTATGAACCCCGCAAGTACATGCAGCCCTACTCAAGTCTCCCAGGTTGCATGAGGTTGTATAGCTTCATAATGATTTAACTTCCCGTGGGACTCCAAAGCTTCATAAATTCGAAACTTCAATGCCAGCACATCTGTAGAACTTAAAGGTCATCATAATTAGCTGACCATCCCCACCTCACGTGATTATCAGAATTGCATTCATTCTTCATAGTTCAACTCCAAAGCCATAAACCCCAAGAAGCCTTTTCTTATCTAGCCTAAAAGTGAGAAAATAAGTTCTTGTAACATATGACATGCACACTAAATCCGTTATCTTCTCCGTTAAGATTCGGATCCCAAGTGTCCACCAAAGGTCTTTATGTCAAAGGTCACTATCCGGTCACTATCGAGTTGCTATTGAGAGGTGGGAGAACTTTTAAGAGGTTGGGCCTGCTGCAAGATCTTAGAACCTTGGCGGTGTGACCTTGTGGAGAATATAGGAACCCGTCAGACTCCGACTTCTGCTTCCGAGTCACTGGGAAGAGAACAGCTTTTCTTCACCATACAATCATAAGTATTGTTCTATAACATAGATACCAGAAACAACAGAGCCAATTAAACACGGACTGAAGCTTCAAATTGTAGGCCAAAACAAACCTTTCCTGCCATGAGGGTGATTGTCTAGATGTATTGTCACAGGAACAAAAGTGTGGCCAGTTCCGGCAGCACTTTGGTAACATCTCTACCATAGGCCTATTTCATTCTGCTCACCTCTGGCTTAAAATTAAATAACTAGGTACTTGTCCATATAGCTTCTCAGATTATGAGAGCTATGTTAAAGATGAATTCCAAGCTTTAGTTTTCTTTATTAGAAAAAAAAACTATACTGTACCCATAGGTCTTTGCATATACAATAATTCCTTTGGGTGGGGAAGAGAAGCCAAAGAGATCTAATGGCTGAATTCTGACCAAGAATATTTTCATAGGCTCAAGTATGACTGCTTGAATTTTCTTAATACAGAACAGCTACAAGTTCCCATGAGTACTTAAATACAAATTGACATCCGAACTCACTTTTAACCTAAAACAAATAGCTTCACAAAGAAAAGGCTAGCAAGTTGTGCTGAGCCTCTCAGCTGTACAGGAGGCAAAATGGAAACAACTCAGTTCCTATTTACCATATGCTTGATATCATTGCATGTATTAAATATAAAATAAATCAAAGATATCACATATTATTAGTGAGGACAGTACAAAGATAAATATAAATAACTCATAGATATAGCTAAGAAGTCTATAAGTAATGTATCTATCAAACTGTGGATCAGCTCACCTGAAAACTAGGGACAGTCCCTTAAACAAATGTTTGGAAATTGTTCACTCAATAGAACTTGATCAAAAATAAACAAAAATTTCAGAGATCATAAGGGTGAGGGGGAAAGGAAAAAAAAAGGTGAGCAAAGACAATGGATGGTTTTAAAAAGGAAGGAAAAGACTGATTATTTACATCAGCCTTGTAGAGTTTCCCAGCAGCTTTTCCATATTTTAAGACCAAAAATTATGCTCCCAAGTCACTTTTGATATGAGAGTATAGTATTTTATGTTTGATTAAGATGTAAACCTTCCACTTAGAACTAGAAAATCTATGATCTTGGCAATATTTTCTCAGGTGACTTCTATAAAAGTAAAGGAAGTTCTGTAATCCTGTAATTTTTTTTTTTTTTGGTCTATGCAATTGTATTGAACTCCTTCTTGGAGAAAAGACGAAAGCGGATGACTAAGCAGCACAGACATTTTATACAAGATAGCTCTAGGCACACTAGAACGGTGCTTTTGAGAAGGAGTTTAATCTAGGACACTAGAAAGAGTTGGCTCTAGTGCAATGTAATCCGAGGAAAATCAATATTTACCAAAAGAAGAGAAACTCAAACTGTTAAAAATAGGGATATCTAATTAAATACAAAAAGAAAAAATTCAAAAACGTTAATAATGATTAAAGTCTCCTGACCAAAGGATTCTTTTTAAACCAATAAGCACAACAAAGTCCCAAATATCATGAAACTTTGTTTAAGGTATTGAAAAAGGGTATATATAAAAGATACAGATGGCAAGTAAACATTAGTAAATAGTTCCTGCCAACGGAAATACAAGATAAAATATTGTACACGAGGAAGTTGTGAGCTAGACTTGTCTTGAGGACACACCACACACGTTTCTGCTTACTTCAAAAAGTGCACAAATGTTCAATTTAGTGACCCCATGAGTATTCATCTGGGGTTTCCAAAAGAAGTACAGGTAAGGGGATACTTAGAGAACAGCAGGTATAAGTCAAAACCAACAGTTATCACGGGAAAGCCTACCCGGATATGAACTCCAGAGCTTTCTAAGCAACCTGAGGGCAGCTTCGTATCCAGAAAGAGCATCTCTCTCTTCCGTTCCTTTTTCACTCTCTTTCTGCAGTTTCTCTGCTCAATCTCTAACCTCAGCTGTTTTTACTCCTGGCAGGGCCCTCCAAAATCTAAGACTCTTCCAAGGTTTTGTTGTGGGACTTGTGACCTTTTCTTTACCTCCTATTTACCACCTCATCTGAAAAGTCTCCCTTCTCCTTCTGGAGCAAATGTTTCAATTCGGGAAGAAAAGTTGCAACTTGGAGAAGGCAATACAATAGAGGTTCAGCATGTTTCTGTTTTGCTGTGATTGCAAGGCTTTTTATGAGCCTTTGTTCCCACTTACAGTTCCGGTAATTAGGACTACAATGTAGACACAAAGAGAAGAAAGAAAGAAAAAGGGAATACCTGGCCTCCAAAGCCTTTTCCAAAAATTAGCATGCATCTTTTCCTGTTAATTCCATCCTCAGATGGAAGATGTGGAGTATTCCAGGCAATCCTGCGTCCACCTGAAAAGTCAGGATGCTTTCCCTTCATTCCTTGGCTCTTTCTCGGCCCGCATGAATTAACATTGTTCACTTCTCTTGGCCAGACTTTACATACTGTAATCTCTTAGTAGCCAAGTAACTAGATAATGCAGACAGGAGAGGATACCTACTTCGCACAAAATAACCTTTCTTCTTCAAAAGCATGTAAGCACTTACAGGGTTTCAAATTACTGCGCTTTCCCCATCAGGGACAGTCTTCTAATACCCAATCAAGTATCTGCAGACAGCTACGTTTTTAAATGCTGTGAGGTCTAAATACACTGACAAATCAAGGTAATCAGGGTGAAGTCACATCTGCAGAGCTGCCAGTGAAGCACAAGGCTCAGACTACTAGCATGCAGTGAATGATTAGAATTCTAAGGATTCAGGGTGCACTAGAATAAAGATACAGATCACACCGCATGGCCTATCAGAACAGACTTTACTATCCCGAGGATAAATTAACTAATCCCAAGGAATGTATCCAGGGATAACTTCCTTACAGCAAAGCCTTTTCATTTTATTTTTTTTAACTTTAAACAAAAGTTTATTACACAGGGGTTGTCATATCATTGGAGACTTATTTACGCTGTGAACAATTTTTCTTATTCTCCACAGGAACTAGTCATCTGGTGACAATCCTAACGAGCCCAGAATTGCAGACAAGCCTCAGTGATTTAAGCTGAAGATAGAACACTGGTGCATGGTTTTGCATTCAGCATAAAGAACGTACAAATTCAAAAATACAAAACGAATTATATTTGGCACGAGCAATGACATCAGTGAGCCATTATACACTATTGACTGAAACAAGGAACTGGTGGGTATAGTGATCTGCCAGTCTTTCCTTCTCTAGGTGACTTCTCTAAAGTTATTGGTGAGGAAACTGCCTTAAGCTTCATGTCACAGTTGATTGATAAGGCCAACTACTGTTCTCGGAATTATAACATGCCACATCTCATACCTGATCTCATTCCAGGGTTCTTCTCTAGGAATTTTGCTGTAGTTATCACAGAGGCCACAGCAACAACATCCCGTAAAGCAACTCTACAGCTTCTGTAGACCAGGCTGGCCTTGTTACTCATAGAGATCCACCTGCCTTTGCCATTCATAGTGCTGGGATTAAAGACGTGCACTGCCACTGCTGGGCTGTAGCTCCAATATTTAATATTTATCCTTTAAATTGATTAACTTTGAAACTGCTACCCCATCTTTTGTTGCTTTAGGACTTCCTCTTCTCTGTTCAATAGCCACTGTTCTTCTCTTTGGCCTCATTTGCCAGCTACAGCATCAGTTAGCGAGTGTACACTGCGAATCACTAAGACTCAGGCATCTGAACCA